CACACACACACACACACACACACACACACACACACACACACACACGCACGCACACACACACACACACACACACACACACACACACAGCATGGAAAAGACTAAGGCAGGCTGGTTGTCCCTCTGAAGACCAGTGGAAGGTGAAGCCCCAACACTCCTCGCTAAATCCTTATTTGAGGCGTTCTCATGCGTTTAGCATGCAGCCAAAAAAAGACTTGCAAGGTCCAGTAGGCCCTCTAGGCGACACACCTGTGGTGCATTGGTGCTCGTGAATCGTGATTGTTTGGCTGCCATGTGAATGTGTGGTGTCCAAAAAATTTAGCACGTGGCGATATAGGCATTCCGCCAGTTTATTTTGGACACGTGAATGCGGCCGGTAGACCCTCCCCCATTACCTTTTAACAGCATGCCTGTGAAGCCACTGTTTTTGTTTGCTACTGGCCCAGGCAGCAATGAGCCCCGTGTGGTTGGTTCACTGCAGCATCAGCTATGCACACCCGGTCATTATCGCTGTATGTAGACTGAAAGTTGTACAAAATACTCTGGTATAATGACCGGGCATTCTATTTGGGTGAAGACGGTAGGCTGCAACGGCTGCCTGTGTAAACCGGGGCAAGTCTGCAGTTCTCTCATAAACCACAAGGGGCGCTCGAACAAAGTGACTTCTGAGCTTCATATTGGTGTAAATGTGTGGGTACGGGCAGTTGAGATATTGATATTTCCCCGAACGCAACACTCTCCCAAAGATTTACCTACCATGTGTGAGCCACAGTAGGGCCATTGATCTTCTTCTCTGGGCATAGGAACCTCTCCATGTCTGTGCAAACCTGCAACAACAACATCAGATAGCAAGTCATAAAATTCAATGAAATTACGAAAGTTACGAAACCAAAAAGGCGACTGAAAAAAAAAATTAAAAAAAAATTAAAGAAGACGAATAATAATACTAAAAAAAAAAAGGTGACTGCTTGTCCTTCAGAATGGGAACGATACAGATAAGATTAGCTGCCACGCATAAATCGAGAAATGATGATCCAAATAAGGGCCAATTTTTTTATTTTTAGTTTTTTGTAAAGGTGACTGCTGGTACAATGATAGGCAGCATCGATGACAAGAAAAGACTTCATAAAAAGAAAAGCATAATTTCAAAATTTCAATAGATGAAAAGCCACTTGGAAGGCCTAAAGGAAATGCGCAGAGATGGTAGCTGCCCGTGTAACACAAGACAACGATCTGTGTTAGAGAAGCAAAAGACCCAAAAGCATTTTGAAAAAGTATGCACCCGAGGTGCTATTGCAGTGTGGTAGGATCACTGTGGCAGGGTTTGTGACGGCATGACAGGTGAGGGCATAATAGACCTCATACGGGATCTTGATGTGAAGAATGGGCGAGCTCTGGAGCATTCATTACTGGCACACGCTCGTTCCTGTGCCATCGAATGGGGCGCGTGCCACGCAGCCTAGGAGAAAAGACGATGAGTAATGGAGTGAGAATGCGCACAGGCAAAAAAGACCAAAAGGAAATCTCTATTGGCTGCACCTGGCTGCTGACTCGGCACTATACGTACAGGGTTCAATGATGGTCCTGCTGGTACAAAAGCTGGAGTAGAACTGGCACCAGAGTTTACGAATAGTGGAGATCAACTGGTTCAAAATCGCAGCAGACGGTTTTCTGTCCTTGGTTGTGTAATTGTCGGACAGTATCTGATACTATCTGCACTAGAACACTCTGGGACAATGTGAGTGCAGACCTGTGTTGATTTCCTCTGACCATTATTAGTATGCAGAACGTGCGTCCCCGGACTGCAAATTTGGGTCTTTTTGTTTATGCATCCTCAGGATAAATATAGCACCAGAAACTAACAGGTTCATGTTTCCTGAACACGAACCTGTTGTTTGGGGACAGGCAGGGTAAGGAAGGAGTAAGTGAACATACTGTGGGCTTTGGTTGTCCCTATCACATTTACAGGATTACCTGCCCCGCCGGGATTGCTTCCTATGGAGGAAAATTCAAGTGTGTGGGACTCCAGATAGTGTAACCCTACAGTTCTGCCTTGAATAGAATGCAGGGGGATCCCCCCACGGGTTTAGGGTTTTAGCAGATAATCAGCTCAGACCGCACTCCGATGAACAACCCCGAGGGCTTTTACGTGAGGGGGATGATCGTCATAAACGATTTCGAAAGGCGCACCACAGGAATGGGATAGCACAAAACAACCTTCTAGCACCAGGGTAACTTAGGCAGGGGTGATGGGTGGTACATCCATCCGCATCGGAAGTAATCAATGCCGCCCACTCCAGTCCCTCTACCGTAAAGGGGAGAAGCGTTGGAGTGTGTTGTATACTCTGTTCTGACTTGCCGATGGAATAGGAGCTGGACTGACGCTCCACAGAATGGAAACGGAGCTGGGGCCATAAGGCCCTGTTCTTAAAAGAAAGAAAGAAAGAAAGAAAGAAAGAAAGAAAGAAAGAAAGAAAGAAAGAAAGAGAGAAAGAAAGAAAGAATGCAGGGGGATTACAGGAGTGTGCCCCTATTGAAGTCAACTCTCACACATATAGATAATCTAGACGCCAGTTCTGTGGGAGTATCTACAACCATGGGGTAAAGCTATTCAACAGCAAAGAATGCAATACCGATAAAAATAATAATAATAATAAATAAAAGCAAGAACTTACCCGCTCAGGTACATCACTTTCAAAATCGCTGAAGATCTCTCAGCAGTGGCCATGGGTGGGTTACCCCCACCTTTCAGCCCTAGGTTATCCCCCCATCACTGCAAAGTGCACTTGGGGGGATAATTCTTTTCAGTTTGTTTGTTTGTTTTGCCCTGTTTTATTTTTGGTCAAGGTCTGCGTGTGACAAGTTCGGTGTATGTTGGGGTCTTGGAGATGACTGTTTTGGCCAGCCCTGAAAATCCTGAAAATCGGACAAGTTGTCGATTTGAGAATTCCTTAAAAACACAACTTTGCCTTGGGGTTCGTTATAAAGATCATGTAAAAACCCTGAAAATTTAGGGCTCTGTTCTCGTCCATGACCACACACCAAAGATTAGGCATGATTTCATATACAACGTTTGTGTGGTGGCGTGATGTAGTGCGTGAATCCACCTATGAAGGATATCAAAATATTATCAATACATCACTATTCAGCACAGAGGAGGGCAATACGAAGACGTTTAAGACCACCAGTACATGGCCCCAGGTAACTCGAGAACAATGATCGGCTCAATCTGAAAAGTGCAGAGGTTCAGGGCAACCAGACCAAAATGGCTGGCAGCAACAGCCAAAATGAAAACAAAAACGCCGCGCTGGCATTTCGGCAAAGCTTGGCGCGCTGGGCGAATCTGCCTCGTACAAAACAGAGGCTCAGATGTGCATGTGGTTTTAAGGCACGAATAACTCACCCGCTCAGCCACATCCTTCTGAAACCGCTGAAGATCTCTCAGCCGCCCAATTTCTGTGTCCAGGACATGGTACGTCTCTCTGTAGAGTTCCCCTAGGATTTCCTTTTGCGGCTTCTCCAGCTACAAAAGTTGTTGTCCCACAAGACCCAGAAAACCCAAAAGCCCCACAAGACCCAACAAAAGGTGTCCCCCAAGGCTCACAGAACCCAAAAGCCTCACAAGAACCCACGAGAACCACACGACCACAAAAAGAGGGCACAACCGCAAAACAAACATGCGCCACGGCAAAGGAGTGACTCAGTGAGTGTCAACAACGAAACGATTATCCCAAAGATACACGCGATAGCTCCATGCGAAAGGTGTTTAAGACTTTAAGTAAAAAAATACACACGGATTTCATAGCCACATTCGATTTGGCAACTTGCCACGAGGGCTTGAACAAAGCCTTAGGAGCCGCTACCGTCTTCACCCGAATAGAACGCCCAGTCATTATAGCTGCATTTGATGCAACTTTCAGTCCAGATACGGCCATAATTACTGGGCGTTCTATTCGGGTGAAGACGGTAGTTGAACAGTTCGCCATAGTATAGATTTATTTTATAATTGTCGTCAGTGAATCGGTCCACGAAAACAAAGGATGTACCGGGATGATTCTTCAAAGGCTTTGGGAGGACGAACAAAACTGAAGATGGAATTTAAAGAATTTTTCAAGAGATGACTGTACGTGCTGAGGCCTGCATGCTCTATCTTTGGCATTTCATCCTGATACAGGCCCAGGTCATTGCAGCGAATTACTCGCCACAGACCATCCTAAGGATTCTCCTCTTCAAACAGAAAGGACGCCAGGGACTGCGCACTGTATGACTCCAGATTTAACAGACCAGGCAAAATCGCCACAAAGAAGAATAATGTCTCACACAACTGCTGAACAGCCTGACATCAAAAGGACCCCAAATACCTGGGGGGGGAGACGGTGGGGGGGTGGGGGGGAGACAACCAAATACCTGAGGAAGAGCTTTCACACAGCTCCGATACGCATACAGGACTGACAGCATTTCTCTGCCTTCGACCAGAAGGTCCTCCTGTGTACAGCACCACAAAAATCCACGTCAACAGTTCAAACCCCATGCAGAGAACCACGAAAATTGTTACGGAGGAGGAAGGAAGGGGCGAAGGGGAGAGGAGTCAGCAAAGGGAAGACGCGGATGTGGGGAGAGGGGGGGGAGGGGAGAGAGAGACAGAGAGACAGAGAGAGAGAGAGAGAGAGAGAGAGAGAGAGGGGGGGGGGGGGGGGGAGATTCAAGGACGTCCATATAATCTGGTCACAGCAGCGGATTGACCACAATACGAGTACGACTCAAACGATGCCTTCGGCACCTTCGGTCGGGGACCCGGCTCTTGCGAGCCCTTTGGCACGCGTCCCCGGGTTTTGGGGTACTAAGTGCTAATTACCACCCCACCAATAAATAGATACAAATACAAATAACCAAACCACATCAACAAAATGCCAAATAGACCACCCCACCAATAAATAGATACAAATAGAACCAGCTTCAAACCCGAAATGGTGTCTTCGACTCTTCGAGTAAAATGACCCATGTACTGACAAACATATACTCACATTAAACCAGCAGTTCGTCCGAGCCTCTTTTTTCCCCGAACGCGGATTTTGCTGCACCAAGTCCTTTGTGTTTCTTTTTTTCCTTTGTTCTCTCTTTTTCTCCTAACACCTTGTGTGGGTCCACTTACGGGGGCAATAGGGGCAACCCTCATAAGGGGGTGCCGCATTTCGTGATGGTTCCAATCTATCGGTGGCAAGCTGTACCTGCTGGAAACCGGGTCCTGCGTCCCTTTCAATACATCAAACTAATGGTTCACAGAGACACAGCATCAATTGCCCTCGTGACAGGGGATCGACTATTCTCGTTTTCCTGAACCTCTCTTTTTTTTTTTTTTTGGACCATTTCTCGATTTGCGGTTGTCATCCTTGCGCAGGGGCCATGCTAATCTCCCTTCTCTGTATCATTCCAGTTTACTCGGATGTCCAGGAGAGGACAACTTTTTCCTGCACTTGTTTCTGACTATTCCTAAAATTATCACCCCATAAATATACACGATCCTACCTTGCTTTTGTACTAGACCGTCTATTGTTCCCAGATTGCTTCTGACCATTCCTCCTGTTCGCCTGCATCGGCCTTCTTACTTTCGTCCCAGCGTAGTCGTGCGACCTATACCCCCTTTCTTTGTTGCAAAGTTGAAATGGTGAGACCTCCTTGAAAACCTAACCATTGCGGCAATGGTTAGGTTTCCCACTTCTGTGGCTGACCTTTCCCCGAACCCCCATGGTGTGCAACTGGGTACTGCATGTAAATTTCCCAGCCACCATGGTCCCTTTGCGCGACCTTGAATGCTTGGGATCCAGTTCCGACTTTGAATTTTGTTGCCTACATTGTGGCCAGAGAGTGCCGTAAAGTAGTGCAAAAATTACCGCCTGCGTGCCCTTCACGCCTAGTCATTCCGAAGCAGAGGCCTCAGAAGTCTGGCTAGCGCCCTGCTTAACACGCCAGATTGTTAGCCATTCGCCGTGTCAAGCCAAGCGGAATTTTCTGTGGTTTCGCACTTCGCCGTGTGCATTGTACACTCGACGAATGGGACTAAGCAGGGCGTTAGGGGCGGGCCCATTCATGCAGCCCCACGCCCTCCGTCACAGGGACGTGGGGGTACAGCCTGAATCTTGCTGGATTGCTCCCTCTTTCTTGTCTTGCTTATGTTTCTTTGGACTTGTGTCTACGCTTCACAGTGATAAGCAACCGGATTGTTGCCCCCCAGAGTTGATGGGGCCTGTGTTTCCAAAAAAAAAAAAAAAAAAAAAAAAAAAAGCACTACCATTGCATATTTAACCTCACCTCTCTGTTAATCTCCAGGTCCCCTGATCCATGCCAGCTGTCATCATGCTCTTTGAACTTGTGTCTACGTTTTTGTTTAAACCATGCCGAATTGCATATTTAACCTGACCTCTCAAGTTCTTTGTACGTATTCAATTGTTGTTTGCATGTAGTCAATTGGTGTTGTCTGTATGTATTCAATTGTTATTGTTTGTATGTACGTAGTTGAAAAACAAAAACAAAAACAAAAACAAAAACAAAAACAAAAACAAAAACAAAAACAAAAACAAAAACAAAAGCAAAAGCAAAAACGCAGAAAGTAATCCGGCATTGTTAGTCTTCTGTCTGTTTTGTTTTTCAACTACTTCACCACTACATAAAAACAACAATTGAATATTTGTGGCAACTATCGCGTTTGTGTTGCTGTGTGCCTTCCTCGCCATGTGTGTGGTCTAACAATTGGGAAGATCTGGATAATCGTCCTACAGAACTGATACATACCATCTGGTTGATGCCTTCAATGTCCTCCTCCAGGTCCAATCGACAAGTGGCGACATCTGCATAACCTATTTCATTTCAAAGCCAAGACAACAACTCAACCATATTAGCCCCTGCCACTCGCAAACGAGTGGCGACACCACGTGGTGCTCCTTGTTAAAGGGCCAGGCCCCAGCTAGCAAACAGGGTTCTTTTAGCCAAAGCACTTCTCGCTTTCTTATCGAGTTCACCGAAGTTCTGTGTATGTCACTCGCTGCATCATCACTGCATTCGTTGTTTTCAGCGTTTCACATTTATCCAGCATCACAGGGCATGCATAGTCATTGTAGGACGTTTTCCACTGAATCTTTATGCGAATATGGTCATATGCATCCAGGAATGTCCTACTGTGTGTACGCCCTTGCTAAGCCAAACCACTTCTCACTTTCTTATCGAGGTCAACCAAAATTCTGTGTATCTCACTCGCTGCACCATCACTGCGTTTGTTGTTTCCAACGTTTCACTTTTATCCAGCATCTTAGGCCATACTCACAGTAGGAGGTTTTTCACTGAATCTGGACGTAAACATGGTCATATGCATCCAGGGAAGTCCTACTGCACGTGCGCCCTTACTCAGCCAAAGGACTGCTTGCTTTCTTATCGAATTCAGTGAAGTTCTGTGTGTCTCAATCGCTGCATCATCAGTGCATTTGTTTTTTTCAACGTTTCACATTTATCCAGAATCTTAGGGCATGCATAGTCACAGTAGGACGTTTTTCACTGAATCTGACCGGCATAGCTCAGAGGGCGCTAATCCTACTGTCTTTACCCAAAATAGAACGGACGGTCGTTATAGCTGTATTGGGGCCAGCTCGCAGTCTAGATACAGCGATAATGACCATGTGTTCTGTTCGGATAAAGACGGTAGAAGGCATCAGGGATGCCTTAGCACAAGGGTGGGGAGAGCGACTACCATTGATGCTTTTGACTTGTGGTTTGGCTCGGAGGATAGGAGGATCAACATTGGTGGCTGGCAAGACACCTATACACCGGTTTATAAGGTGGAGCGTCGGGGCTCGCTTGCTCACCACTTCAGCAACGCTGTCTGTCCTTTGGACGCAGAGACTTCCAAAATGTTGCTGAATAAGGTGATGAGTTGGCCTAGCTCAGTTGGTGGAGCACGAAAGCAGCATTCACGAGGTTGCGGGTTTGATTCCCCACAGTCCCCAATCGAGCCCCCACACCTCCTGAGGAGTGCTGCGGCTGCGGGTTCACCAGCTGAGATAGTCAGTTTGTCCCTCCTGGTGTAGTTTGCCGCTAGAGGGTAGATCAAGGTGTGTATCATTCCTCATTGGGTAGGTAGTGGGAGGTATATTGAGAGAAGAATATAGCTGAGTTTTGAATAAAATAAAATAAAAGGTGACGAGTTAAAACTTAAAAGTCATTTCGGGACATCCGTTAAAAAATTGGAACGATACAGAGTCTGAAGATTAGAATGGCCCCTGCGCAAGGATCACACACATAAATCGAGAAATGGAGCAAATGGTCCATTAAAAAAAAAAAAAAAAGGTGATGAGTTGACAGAGGAGATTGAAGAAGGCAGAGAGGAGGAGGAGAAGAAGGAGGAGGAGAAGAAGGAGGAGGAGAAGAAGGAGGAGGAGTCAACACTTTGTACCACAGTTCTGCCTCTGAGATTTTGTCCACTACCAAAGTGTTGGGCCTTGACCATGGACTGAATTCCAAGACGACTGTGTTAGTGAGTGGTGCAGGGACATGTATGACTTTTCTACTGTCTGAGCATAAGCTTAGACTGAATGTGAATGATGATTGCAGGCCAATTGTATGTATCTAGGGATCTGGATCAGCCTTCTTTCTCGGCCCTTTTATGGAATGACCCGCTCTGCGAGATCGTTCCCTCCCTCGATTTCCGATTCCTTCCTGTTACTTACTATACTGATACAACTTTCGTATGCATAGCCACTTCAGTAGTAGTGTTTCGAAAGGGGAAAAAAAAAAGTGAATAGAACAACCCCCCGGCGAACCATAGCAATTGTAACCAATCATGAACTCGATCTGAACATCTGCTGGCAGCACTTAGGACTGTGAATTATGTGAATGAAGGAGATTGGGGTGCTGCACTCACCAGCTAAACTTTTGAAAGATGATTTGTCTTCACTCAGACAAGCTGTTGGCCCATGAACATCAGGCTGATCATCCTGACAGAAGCACAGAAACATCAAACAAACAGAGGTATCATTATATCTCGGCAATTCAAACAATCCGCCGCAGTGCTGTATGGCTCTCTCTTCTTCGAAGCCTGCTTCTATGGCCCTATGCATGCCTTCTTGCAAAAAATAGACCAAGTCCCAACTCCACAAGATCAAGCCACTAGGAATCCAACACCATGACCTTCTTATTGGTTAAGGCTTCCACCAAAGAGCCGGAACACTTAACTAATAAGAAAAGTGAGCTGGGATGAACGTGAAGCCGGTTGAGGGACGTTTCACCCCACCCCACCCCACCCCACCCCACCCCACCCCAGCATGGAGTACCCCACGACCCGGTGTACCCAGACTCTACTCAACCCATGTGCCTTTCGGCCCCGGTTCAGACCTCAACCAAGCGACAGCAAGGCCGGCTCTGTGTGCCTTCGCTATCCGTATGCACATATCTGCGTCTGTTTGTGTGTTAAGTGTAACCTCTCTCTCTCTCTCTCTCTGTCTCTCTCTCTCTCTCTCTCTCTCTCTCTCTCTCTCTCTCTCTCTCTCTCTCTCTCT